CTTCAACTCCTATTCAGACCCTTCAGGTCTTCCTTGGGGCAGCATGAACATCGGCCACTTTGTTGGTCGTAGTCAGGAGGCTGAGAGTCGGCACAGCAGCAGTAGAAGGGGAACGAACAGCGCAGACGATAGCTTTGCTACAGCAACATACAGTGCTTCACCCTCATACGGCACGCAATGGGCACAAGCAAGTTACGGCGAAAGCAGTGGAGCAGACGAGATGTATTACGATGATTCTTACCTATACGACCCAAATGCTGGGCAATGAGCCGTGAAGACGCTACTGTAAGATGGCCTCCTATTTCTCTCTGAGTTCTCCCGACTAATCTCTTTGCAGTGGTTTCCGTACTTGGGAATAGAAGGAACTGAACAGACTTATCACGATTGATTCCATTGTATAACTTATCACACACCCTATTCTGGAGTTTTTGTTTTGGTATTACCCCGCTCGCTCACATGGAGTTGGTCTTCTTGGGCTGGATTGCTATTCTTGGATGCAGCTGAGACTTGGGAAGGGATGGTTCAGAGCGGTCAGACAGGCAAGGGATGAAGAACTAATTACGAGAGAAAAGAAGATCTCTCTTTCTATTCATAGATCATGTTTTACCATACCTAGGGCACTCCTCTACTCTGCTACTGGTTGGCGTTAAAGATGGCGGCAAGGGGATGACTTTGCATAATAAGACAATTTTTGATCCAATTCTTTGAATCATAGTTGCCCGATGATTAACTTGAGAGTTGCGTAAGCTGACAGTGGTAAGTATATGGGGGATGAGTTGTGTTGACCAATGAGTGGCTACTTCATATCCCCTTTCGAGGTCTAATCGTATGCCCATGTACTGAAGTCCTATATACGAGAATACGGCCTCCGACATGTATAGCGCTATACGAATGCAGGTATACAGCAACCCCTGAGAGCTGAATTATGCCTTGTTTCAACCTTGCTCATTTCACAAGTTGTGGCCTGATAGGGATATGGAACCCCCCATGTTTATTGCCAGCCAACACGATAACTTTAAAGGATAGACGGTCCTTCTCTTGTATACTGTGAAGAGTTTCAGTTGAGATTTGAACCACATAGCCTCGCCTCTACTGTGAAATAAAGCAGTGTCGAATCTTTTCGGCGTACGTCGTCCACCAGTTCATATATCTTCCGTTTAATGAAATGTTCTCTATGCCTACAATATTCAATGTAAATTTGCCGTCTAGAATAATTTTAGCATTAGCTATGTGAGGGAGGAACATGTAAGCATAGCTGTGCTCGCTCAGTAGTTGTATTTGATAAGATAGTTGTAGGTATGTGCCCCCTTAATGTCAAGACGGAGATTCAATGATGACCTCTTGAGAGGCCTCAAAATCGTATTCATCTTGATCCCAACTTACAACTCAGCCTTTTGGGCATCAATTACTTACCTAAAGGTGTCGTCGTGCCAGAATGAGACATTGGAGGACGAATAATGTAATACGCATGCTACAAGCGTAATACACCAGGGCACAGCTTCACCAAGTTTTCTTCAATAAAATTAACCCTACAAACGCAACTTTCCGAATAACTTACCTGATCTTCTAGATCAAACACTTCTAGGACTCTATCGAACATTTTGTTTATCTGATGTTGAACTTAAGCTTAGACGTGCAAGCTGGCGTGTAACCCGGCGATTGCCTATTTAGGCAATTCTTCACTCCACCCTAGATAAGTAGTGGAAAGGCACGGAACGCATTGCCCCTGCCTCCATGTGCACAAATAGTTCCTGCCCCACCCAAATTCAACGCTTAGTCCCCTGTCAACTTTTTCTCACCGCCCGGCAGAAAAAGTGATTCTGCCCAGTGCTGTTGCGCATTTCATGAAGCTATCGTCGGTTCTTCTTTGCGCCATTCACCACTCAACCTTGAACACTGAGAGATTGACTTTCTTACTGATTTTTGGCAGACGGTAACGAGCTTATCGGAACTTTTAATTGTCCTTCTACTTCTAACTCTATACCCAATTTGTTTTTTGTCATTCCAAGACCGTCATCATGTCGTCGTCTACAACTGGCGGTGTTGCTCTCAACCCTGAGGTGAAGTCCAAGAAGGGTAAGTCATAGATGATTGCAAACATCTTCTGCCCCTTATCCTAGTCTATGAAGCTCATCTAACGTTTGCTATATGCAGACAAGAACCTGAAGCGCAAGCAAGACAAGTCTACCAAGCTTGAGCAGCGCAAGAAGAAGCGTTCCGCTAAAGCAGAGAAGCGAGCTGTCAAGGCTGCTGGTGCCGTCAGTGCTGAGCCCAAGGAAGTCGTTGGTGGCAAGCCCCGAAAGTCAAAGACCGTGGCCAAGAAAACCGTCAATGCTTCCAAGCGCAAGGAAAAGCTGAAGGCTCGTGCCGAAAGGCTTCAGGAAAAGGCAAACTTGTTGTTGGCCGAGGCCAAGAAAGCTGCTGCACAGTACCAAGCACTTCTTGATGCCGAGGTAAGTCCACCCACACCATGATTATTTTTTCTACACACTCATCCTCCTCATCAGAAAACCGCCAACGAGTCCAAATCCGAGCAGGACGACGATACCTCTTCTGATTCCGATAGCTCAGACTCTAGTTCCGACAGCTCATCTGAGGATGAGGGAGGTGCTCCCGTGGCCAAACAGCCAACCGAAGTTCCTACAAACATCCCAGCCGACGAGATCGTGATGAAGCACCGCCGACTGAGCAATGCCACTTCCGAACGAAGCCATGTTTCCGCCGCTGATATCTCTCCCGAGGTAGAGGAAGAGCCCGAGGAATCTAAGAAGGACAAGAAGAGCAAGAAAGGAAAGAAAGTAAGACTCGTCGAGCCTGAGAAGGAGAAGGAAGAGGCTGTCGAATCTGAGGCCGAAGTTGATGAGCCCAAGGTCTCTGACAAGAAAGCCAAGAAGGCCGAAAAGAAGAGGAAGCGAGCTGAGACCAAGGACAAGAAGGAAAAGGAGCCCGAGTCTGCAGCTCAGGCTGAACAATGGCAAGTCGACGATCTTGAGGGAGGCTCTGCTCGACAGGCCAAGTTCCTCCGACTCCTGGGTGGAAAGAAGGCTGGTGCTAGCGTTGCCGCCTCCCATAACACCAAGGGCGCATCCGACTCTACCAAGGCCGAGGCCGACATCCAGAAGCAGTTCGAGGCTGGTATGAAGATGAAGAACGAAGGTGGCAGCAAGCGTCGTGGTCTTGGTGCATAGTTGTTTAACGCACAGTATATGTTTCGTGTTAGCATTCGCATTTGAAGCTGCTGGCTTGGCACAAGCTCTCCCTATATAAAGAAGGGTTGTTGTTTTAATTCACGGTTCACGGCATGGCGTCAGGTAGACAAAAAGCAAAGAAATAAACCCTCTTGTTTTGTTCATCGAGAAGAAGTCGATTTATGTTGATTCCAGATTGCGCCTATTCTCCTTAAATCAAGTTCCTGTGAATTCAATACAAGGTCTCCCAAATACAATTATGTGTGCCCTTCACCCCTTCAGCTCCTTAGGACGGTGGACTGGTGCACCGTGCTTGTCCATGGCTTTTAAATGGTTCACAGACCCTTACTCTCCCAAATATCAAGAAAAATTGTTGTACCATCGCTGAGAGCAAGGTCTGATTGGGGTATTGTTGTTGTTTGTTGTTTGTGTTTATGTTGTTATAGTATAGAGAGAGAGGTTCAATTGACGGAAGCTTAACCGAAGAAACGGGAGAGACCCTCGAAAACGAGGCCACCAAAGATGACGAACCCAAGGATAGCTGCAGTGGCAACCGGTTAGTAAAGCGCAGCTCCTGTAACCATCGGGGTTCGTGTATACGTACAGATCCAGAACAGGGAGATGGGAGACTTCTGAACCTTCTCGACACGCTTCTTAATCTGACCATCCGACTTGCCCATCTTGGCTTCGTTGCCCTTGGCAAAGGCCTCGTTGCGTCGTCGCTGCTGGGGAGTTTGCGCCTACAAGGAAGTGTCATGTTAGCTCCATCATGAGATCGACACTGGATTATGTAGGAGGGTCCTAGCCGTGGCGTACCATTGTGTCTAGGTTTTCGAGTCTGGGTAAAAGGTTTGGAAAGAAATGTACAGAAGAATTGAGTGTTGGACGGTTTCAAATACTGTAAATGGTCTTCGTCGCGTTAAAGTACTAGGATCGCATTAAGGGACAGATTTCAAGGGCCCGTGGCGGAAGGGAAGTTTAAATGGGCTACTAACAATTTTGGGGACATGTGTTCCTTTCCCCTTAAAGACAGACAAGGGAAAGTGAAGACCGTCTCTTTCCCCCCACCGGCCCCGCCCCCACTTCGCTGCCACATGTGGCTGGTACACTTGAAGCTTTATCGGTATGTTGCTTCACGTTTGTGAACTCTTCAACGAGTACCAATACAATGATTTCAACAACTCTTACGAGGCTACGGCCTATGATTTCGTCTACAAGCCTGCACATTAGAGGAGTGTCTAGAAGGGCATATGCGAACAAGCCCCCGAGTCCAGTGGTATGTTACCAAAAGTACTCAGAAGATTTATGTTGACAATACGGTAGTCTCAGTTCTATCGCACATTCACTCGACCTATTGCAAAGACACTTCTCATTGCTGTCTTTACGTACCAGTTGGCTTACTGGACATGGGTAAAACTTGAAACAGATGAGATCCGTGCGGAGCGAGAAGGTTGGTAACAAAACAGAATATGAGAATATATGGGGGCTAACGAGTGAATGAATAGCAACGATTGAGAAGCTTGAGACAACTATTAAGGATTATGATGCTGCGACAAAGGCAAATAAGGCTTAAAGCGTATAAATGAGATTACGGTGGTTCAAAGCAGCCCATTGTCTTTAGTTGTTCTGTGTAGGATACTGATACCAAATCGTTCATGTTATTCAAAATACACTTACTTGTACAAATGTATGAGCATCTTAACTTTGACACGAAATTCAGACTGTCGCTAAAATTAATCTTAAATGCATCTCCGCAGAAGTCCCTCTAACATAAAAACGCCCAGCATACCCAAGAAACGAGAAATACACATCTTATAGTATCAACCAGACCATCAACGACACTGCACCGAGCGCAAAAGCGCTTGGTCGAACAATTACACCTGCACTAACCCTCGTCCTTGGCTCGCCGGGGTAGTTACATGTTATACTCGAAATATCCGGATTCCGCCGTCCGTAGCTCACACTGAAACTTGGGAATCCAGGCTGTGGACAGGTGAAGCCTATCGCAGCGGGACATGCTTGAACGACTTCGTAGCAGACGTCCTCGCAGGGTAGCAACTCCTTGTATGGACCAGGTTTGACGGTTTCGTCGATCCAGGCGTTACGCGAGGAGTTATTTGCTGCGGCCTTGAGACCCTTGCGGAAATCATCAGGAAGCGTTGTTCCATTGGGAAAGGCTTGAAAAGCGTCGCGAACAACGCTATATCTGCTGCCACCCATAACATCCTCGCAGCGAGGGATCGTGACAGTGCAGAGCCAACGCTTGTAGGCCTCTCGGCACTCGTCACAATCTCGTGCTAGTGAGTAGCGAGACTCAGGGGGTGCTTCACAGGGTACCTGCATCATGACTTTTTCGAAATTGGCGTACATTTTTCTGGCATAATCATCGTAGTGCTTGGCCAGAGCAGTATTGTTGAACTTTTTGTCATTGCCAGGTACTGCATATTGTGTCTCGTTGCAGAAGTCCAGGTTTGTAACCATCTTACAATTTGTGCCTGATGATGGGTTAGCTAATATGAAGCAATTTGAAGCGCAGTTGATCTTACTGGATGAGGTCTCAAATGTGGTGGCGTTGTAGACAGTGCCTCCCCCCCCTATTGTGCTCCCAGACTTGGTATCTCGTTTGCTATCACTATCCGGCATCTTGACGAGGATTCCCGAGTAGGTGGTACTGTGATTGAGCCCTGTAACCAGAAACTGCTGCTTGGGCAATCCTCCTTGTCCTCGAGTCGTAAGGCCGGTAGTAACAAGATCGTTGTTTCTCCCAGTCTTCTTATCGTTGGCCCAAATCTCCGCGTGGTCCGTTAGGCCACAGGCTGAATGTCGCAGACCATCGATGGACCTCAATTTTTCGTCCCCAACAAAAATCTGAAAAGGCGGCGGCCTCTTCATGATCTGCTGGGTCTCGTCCGAGTCCTGGGTCAAATCACTGGTGAAAAGGAGGGCTGATGTTGAGTCAAAGTCCATCAACAGTAGTTGAGCAGTGCCATTTTTGGCATCGTAATTGTGGTAATACTCGTCGAAAGAAATGGCGATTTGGTATTTGTATTCTCCATCAGCCTTTGATATATTCGGGGCCACAACGCTGATGTATATGTCATTGGTAGCATTCATAGTTAGCATAACTGCGCCCTCGTCGAACGGTATCCTGGCGGTATTGGGATTCGACTCGTTGTAATTGCCTGCCGTTGGGCACTTGATTTTGTTTGTTGTTGAAGTATAAAGACTGAGCTGCGGTGCCAATTCTGTATTCCCGCTCTTGTCTTTGGTCTTTAGAGTTGGCCTGGAACAAGTATTGGCAGATACATAGACAGTCTTCGTCTCTGCTCGACGAGAGTTCTGATGCCCTGTCTCCCCGTTCGTTTTATGCTCATCGTCCCTCTTGTCCTTCCCAAACAACGTCTTCTTATCCACAATATAACAAACAGTCCCTCCAGGAATTATCGATCGACTATCAGGGCCATTATTCGTTAATAATGGCTGTTCTGGCGTGGCACGACCAATAATGCTGCGATCAAATGCCGCAAACTCTGGTTCATATATCAATTCCGATGTATCGCTTCGTTCGATCAGTGTTTCAAAGTCGAAGACCAAGTTGGGCGATGAAAGTGTAGCTTCAGTGTTTCCAGGAGCGCAGAGCATCAAGCTCAATACCAGAACTGATAGAGACGTAATTATCGACGTGGACGGTCTTGACATGGGCGAATTGGGTATCATGATGGCGGCCTTTCCCTCCAGGGGCTTTTGCCTTTTCGTTGAGTTTGAGCTTGATTTATCGACGCGCGATCAGCAAATGAACGTGGTGTTAGTTTTCTTCGCATGTGGTCGTTATTGTCTCCGAGTTATCATCGTGAGCTCTCCCGAGATCGAACCATGGAAAGCATTAGTTGTCGTGGTGAAAGGATGGAAAATACGAAACAAATTGAATGGTTCAGCCCACGATAAGATGCTACAGCCTACTCATTACGGCTGACAAGCATGTGCCGTCCGACTTAATGCGCCAAGGAGCAACACTAGAGGGTCGCAAGGGGAAGTGAGGCGCAGTCAGAGGTTAATTCGGGAACACCACAGCCACAGGCACACTCAGCTCTAACAATGGAATTCGGATCTTTTTAGGTCTGGTACAAAGCTCGGGCCACTAAAAAAAGGGTTCTGTGGCCGCTACTTACCACGACCTACGTCAAGTGTAGGTCAAGTCAGGCCAGATCGGATAAGATTGGATCGTAGGCCAACAAGCTTGGAGCTTGGCCACCAGTGAGAAGTTGACGATTAGTGGCATCCATAGCAATATATCTTGACATTTTGAGACAGCTGGCCCGCTGAGCACGCGACAGTTGCAGCTGAATGTTGATACGTAGAACAAAATTCCCGATACCATAGGTATTCAATTGCAAAACCAAAGATGTGGGGTAAGCAAACGGCATAGCGGCAATACGTGTTCTCATGAAGCTCCAAAAAGAGCATCTCTCAAAGCAAAGCAAGATATTTCTAGTGCATTCATTCATCACACAAAGTCATCCACACGACACGAGTCTTTCCGAACAGCCCAGCAGTCCAATACAGCTTCTCTAGCTGGTATAAATCCTAATCCTGGCCGGTCCTCCTCCTCATCCCCCCCAATTTGCGTAGCGTGGTTTTAAAGCTAAGTAGTTAGTTCCTATAAATAACCATTTCATGTTCCTCTAGCACCGAAATTGCTTGATCCTGGGCATGCGACAATTCGCAAGAGTTAGTTTGGCGATCAAGCTAAACTTTGGAGACCGTTTACTCGGTCTTGTCGAGGCCGTCAGCCTTGGCACGGAGGCCAGAGGCAGTCGAGCCGGTCTGCTGGAAGTATCGGCCGAGGGTAGGGACCAGGAAAGATCGGAAGATGAGCTCAGCACCCCTAATTAGTTTCTGTCAGTACTTGAAGCAAATCCTCCGGATAGCGGGGCAGCAAGACCCGCATGGCATCTTACCGGAAAGCAGGGAGAGAGAGCCAGAGAAGGAAGATAAACTTGAAGACGAAGTAGAAGGGGAACCAGTAAACGACCTGGACGAAGCTCTCAATCACAGTGAAAAGAGAGAAGACGACCCAATACTGTAAAACTAGTTAGCGACCGCTTGTGATCGTAGGAAGCCTCGGCAAAGCCCGGAATCAGCTCCGATGGTAGGAAAAAGGCCACGTACAGTCAACCACTGAGTATCATCCTCCTTGTTGTGGGTGAAGAGGGCACCAAGAGAGTAGTAGCCGGGGATGACGAAACCAGCCAAGTTGGTCAGAAGCTGGCCTCCGAGGTTGAAGATAATGAGGAAGAAGTAGAGAGCGCCGAAACCAATGGCGGCATAGGCCTTGGGAACACCAGCCTGCTTCTCGAGGTTGTTGAGGGCGGGGTACTTGGAGAGCTATACGGATGGCATCACTGTCAGCATTTTGCAAGGTAACGTTGCGCAATTTGTGCTCGACTGCAATGCGGCGGCTATATCGCAGGGTGAGGGGATATGCGTACCTCACGGTCGAGCTGACCAAGGTATTGCTGAGCCTTATCCTGGGCGGACATTTTTGGTTTCAGTTGAATTTGTGTATGTGTGGTTTTGTCAAAGAAGTTGTGATGCTGTGAGAGAGTTGAAAAAAAGGTGTTGGAGGGGTTGGTTGTGTGGTGTATTGAAATAGCTAACTTAGCGTCCAATACGTAAGAGGAGTTAAATGGGCTGGAAGAGGGCAGCTTTTATCGCGGCGCTAGCTGCAGCTGAGATGGGGGTAGGATATGGAACCCAATCACTGAGGTACAGGGCCTAGCGAATCTTGGAAGCAGGAAGAAAATTGACGCGGAGACAATCAGTGTCAATGACCGAGAGTGACTGTTTGTCAGTGGCTTGTGACCCTGTAAGTTCGGGGGTTTTTGCGAGATGAAGTGCTCAGTTGATCAGCAAGACGTTTGAGGCTTGTGATGTTGTGCAGGTGATGAATATTTTACTCGTTAGTATGAAAACTGTATCAGATTGTATTATTATAAATACTGTGCATTTTGCCGTTGACTCTTCCAACTTTTGGTCACAAATACATATCTCCTGACTGATAGAGCAATCCATGAGCGTACGTCAGACTTGACGATTCCAGGTATGACGCAGTGTACTTTGTTCCCTAGCGCCGTTGTGCACTATCACATGTACCTCCATAGCACATGAAAGGAATTACATCATTCGGGAAGCAACCTCAACGGTTTGGATGCTATATACAGCGGGACGGAGGAAACTTGCATAAAGCTCGGAGTATTGGATTCTGTAGTGATAGCGTCTGGAAATATGGAGATATATATGTGTCCATCATAGTTAAGTGGTTCCTAGGAGATCCAACATACAAATTGTTATGGATGAATGCTATAGGGTCTAGACACAATGAATTGTGGCAGATGTACGGAGTAAGCAAGCAAGGTAAGGTCGTGATATTTGTATGGAAGGACTGCGGCCAGCTTCCAGAATTTCGTCACAGAAGAAAGAATATGAATAGTAATCATCTGGACTCTTGATAACACAAGATACTCGTCGTCTGATGCTCACCGTCTTTGTGTTATTTGCTAGGTAGGCAGATGTCTCGACGGTTGTCCGGGGCCAGGCTTATTTATCTGTCTCGTTTGTTTCCCTTGAGGTGGATGTGATCTCGTGCCCTTAGTATACGCAGACCATGTGCTTCGCATCTCATATCTCCCCTGGACAACTGAATCTCTGCCAAGAAGTTGGATCGAGGTTGAACCAGTCTCTGTCCACGACTATTCACGTTGGAGTGGAAGATCATGGGCTGTTAAGGGCAACGAAGATCTCCTCCATAACTGAGAACACATCCGAGATCTCGCAGTGAGCACCTTTGGCCGGGGAGGGTATAGCAGCTTCAAGCCTCAAAACACAGATCGAGAGCATCGTAAAAGAAGCAATGATTCGCAGCCAGTCAAATCTCGTTTCTCATCATAACAGGAATTTCGGCTAATTTACCGTACCCTTCCAATGAGAGTCAGGTGAGACAAGCCAATAGAACAAGTGGATATCGTCCCCGCTGCGAGCAAGATTACCTAACTGAACTGAACCCATTTGTCGTTGACCTCGCAACGACAAAACAAGGACAACAACAGCTCCTGGAACATCAAATTGTTACCCTCAGCGCCGCGCCAAATTGCACTCGAGTAGCTCCTTGAGCGGCGTCTTTGAAACGAGTTTCTTTCTATTCAGCTTCTGCTGGTCTTTTTTTTTTCTTTCTCGCGACTCTTTTGAGGTCCCATTTTCCCTCGAGTTTCATTGTTATTGACGTCGGCGCATCCGAACACCCCAGCCCAGCCAATGTTTGTTGTTTAGCCCGCCCACAAATTCCTCAACTTCCGTCAACCAAGTAAACACAAAGTCCCGGTCGGTTCAGGTTCAGCCCAGTCCAGCCCAGTCTCGTCTCGTACCTCACTCAATTAAGTATGGAGCATAACAGTAAGTTTACTTTCTCCCTTGTTTTTCTTCCCAGACAACTCCATACCCAAACAACCTCATCTCCTCCTGCTTGAGGCACCTAGTACCACCGACGCGCTATCTACTCAGTCGGAAAGTCTAAACACAACACAACATAACAAGCTTTTAACTTCGCTGCTAAAGCATAACATCCCCTCGGCTTATTCATGTCAAGCTGCAAAGTCTCTTGTTTGTTGACAAATTCAATTCAGTGGATATAACAGACCAGAATCAAGCTCAAGGTCCTACCACCCGCGCCGCCATTAGATCGACTCGACGACCGTTATCCCGTGCTTCAACAGCTTCACTCAACAGCTTAGAGCAGCCTACCTTTGCCGACACTTCAGACATGTACAACGGGCAATGGATGACGGCCCAGCATGGACAGGTTCATCCAAATGGCCAAGTGCACCCCAATGCACACGTCCACGGTCATGCCCAGGTTAAGGACATGAACACGCCTCAGATGTCGGCAGAGGATATTATGATGGCTCAGCAGCTCCAAGCAAGCCAGGACTACTCTATGGACGCTTCGATGAGTGCACCAATGGGTCACCAGATGCAATACCAACAACAAAAACATCCCATGCAACGGCACCCGTTACCCGCTGAGCAATATAACAGCCATGCCAGTTTCACCGAGGGAGACAGCCAAATGATGGAGAGGGACGATAATGACGAAAACTCCTTTGCTGGAATGATTGGAGCCCCAAAGCCTGCGTCCAATAGATCAAGTGCAAACAACGAGATTGAAATGAGAGCTCTATTCAAAGCCAACGAGCATCGCAGCCTTCCTGACGTGGCCAGTGAGCTTCATGGAAATGAACGAGGTCCAAACTCAGAGCGAACCCGACAAGTTTTTGCAATGCTCTGGTATGTCGTGAAATGTTTACCGTATTTGCAACAGGTATGCTAATCGTCCCATAGGATCCATGGCGTCTGTGAAAGGGGCAAGGGTTCCGTCCCTCGAGGACGAGTATACGCCAACTACGCCTCGAGATGTGCTACCGAAAGAATCACCGTACTCAATCCCGCTAGCTTCGGGAAGCTTGTCAGGGTGTTGTTCCCCGGTCTCAAGACACGGCGACTTGGTGTTCGCGGAGAGTCCAAATATCATTATGTGAACTTCACACTCAAGGAGGACCAGGCCGAGGTTAGGGAGCCCTCAGTGCAGCCAACCCGCGCTCTCCCAGAACCTCCGGCCTTCACTCAAAGTTTCAAGTCAGCTTTATCCCTGACCGTAATTTGTATGTGCTTGCTAACAGACGTAGCACTCTTCCTTCACAGACGACTATCAGTCTGAGCCAAGGGGCCCTTCCGTCCCCTCAAATTGGCAGCACTGAGACCAACCCGGCCCCAGCATCGCAAAAGTCCGGCTTCCAGTCACGTAGCATATATAACCAGCCACAGATTGCCAGCATTGCCCACCTCAGCTCCAGCACAACAAAGACTCAGCTTGAACTCGGCTTTCGTCCCGAGTCTGATGGGCCTGTTGACCCTGAGGAACCTCTTATTCTTCCTAACCTTGAGCCTTACCTCCCTCAAGGCACCGACCCCGACGCTGCCAAGTCTCTATTCGCATTGTATCGCGCTCACTGCACATCACTAGTCGATTGTATCCGTTTCTGTAAAGAGAAGACTTTCTTCCATCTTTATGGTGCTTTCCAAGGGACTCTCACCATGCCTGTGTTAAAACTGTTTGGGAACCCGGCCTTGGCTCCTTGGATTGAAGAGTGTGACTTCATCCTCTACCAGCGTATGATGAGCATCGTATCTGGTTTGAAACTCCAGGTTGTTCCTAAGTATGTTTTGGATATTTTCAAGTCCATATCGGATAGACTGGTGATGCACATTCGTGAGTCTTTTCAAGGCCAGCCACAGCATGTTATCCGTGCTAAGGAGGGACCCGCGGCACTCTTTGTTGGACTCATCGACCGCGCGTTGAGAGTCAACTTGACAGCTCACGCTGCTGCTAATTTTCTTTCATCCCGTGAGCAGCGCAATCAGATGTATATCGACTGGATCACAACAATCCGGCCTCGCAAGATTGCCGAATGTGTTCCTACTCGGGGTATGGACGATGTTGTGAATCTTCTGCTTAACGAGATTCGAGATCTCGTTGATCCCACAGACGTGCCTTGGGAGGTGGAATGCCTCACCATATATGGAGATGTTTTGTCGCGCAAAGGTCGGCCATCTGACAGTGATGTCGACGGTGGCGCCGAAGGTTCCGGTGAAAAGGGCGAGTCATACCAGCTTGATCGTTGGGTAACATTCCTCAACAGTCTACCGACCAGGTTCCCTTACGCCTCAGCGAGCGACATCATGCTATGCGTCGAGAGGATTGGTACTGCTGTGATGCGAGACCTCACCATGAACCAGGGTAAGAGCTTCAGTTCATGGTGGGTGACCAAAACATGGATAGATGAGCTGGTCTGCTTTATGGTGGAGGAGGGAGGATTTATGAAGCAAAAGAGGAGCCACACAACATGGTCGACAACGCCCACGCCACCCCAAGCAACAAAAGATACGAGCCGGCAACCCTCACGATACAGCAGTGGCAGTGACGAATTCAACCTTAACAACTCATCGCAAAACCAAGGGGAACGTGCCCCCTTCCCCCCAGCCAACAAACCCAGCCAGACCTCAATGGGTATGAGTGGGGGTGATGTCCACGACGATAGCGGAATCGGCATTAGGACACCCGAGGAGGACTTTCCCATGGACAAGTTTGGGTTCACCGGCACAGACAACCAGGAGCATGCCCTATTGGAAGGGGCAGAATTCACTGTTGATGAGCTTTGAAGGGTTTCAAGCAAGGCCGCAAGGCCCGCGCGCGCGTGTGTGTACGTGTCTACCTGACACGGTGATTGGCGTTCCGGGATTGGGATATCGATTATACCCTTGGTTGATTTATATTAATACAGTTGTCCGTGTTTCCCAGAGGAGGGTCTCCTAATTGCCAGACATGATGGGACGATGGAACGACGACATGATGATGGCCTAGAGGCAGAAGCGGGAAGTGAAGTGCGCTGGGTTTGGCCAGTTGAGCGAAGCGAGCCTGGAAGATAGAGGATTGGGGAGGGTTGTTTCTGTGTACACATTAGCTGGAAGGCTTGGTTCTGGAGTTTTTGAGTATAAATGGTGTCGGGTTTGGCAAAGGCGCACCATGAGAGCCATTAGGAGGGGTTGATTTCACCGCATCGTCAAATATACTGTTTGCAGGCTTTTGGCTCATTCCGTGTTGTCCTCTTATTCCTTTGAAAGTGAGGTAACGGTCATAAGGGAATGTGTTTGTAGTATCCAAATACCATGGCATTCTCTCTCAGTTGAAAGACTTTTGACTACACTATGCGAGAGTTTTGAAGCCTGTGCTTAAACTCTGATTGGCCAGTAGAGGAATCCTTTTGCATTGTCTTCTACTTCATTCATCATGTTGGATAGATCAATGCCTAGGGATAGAGTTTATTGTGCTTTTAGTATAATAACAAATCACTCTGAGCTCTATGTATAATGATTGACTGACTGTTGATGACCGTGTAAGTGAGTGAGTGGTGATGGAAGACATCTTTGGTGGGGTCCATAGCTTAAGTGGAGTTTAAGCATTAGCGTAGTGGGGTCATGAATCTCTAAAGAGCTTAACCTAAACGTGTCTAATGAAGGACAAAGCCGAAGACGGAACCTGTAGAAATGTCGAGTCATACCATACAGTGAATATTATAGAGGGAGCACCCCTGTATGAGCTGTTATTTCGGAGGCAACTTCGGTCCTGTTCCCAAACACTGACTCTAGAGTCCATAGAATGATGCTACAGTATGAGCCATATATAAATAATACTTCTCGTCTTAATCCCTAGTCCTTGGTTCTTGAAACTTTATATATACATATCTGTGTCTCTTTTCTGCTGAGGCGTTGTTCTTGGCCACTCAATCATATTGAAACTCAAGCTCCGTTCCCGGACAAGTGATTTCATATCCAGTCTTTGATATTGGATATTCGCATTCAGAGCCTCAACCCGTCCGTCACTGTATCAACACCAAATTTACTTTCAACTTTGCTTAGGGGATTGCAATTTGGCACCGGTTTCAGCGTTCGATAATACTTCAGTTGCACACAATCGCTGTCGATCTCTCAGCCATCTACACTTGACACCCCAGTTCGATTCAGTCTATTGACTGCACCGTCGCATTCTACAAATCATATCATATTATACCACGATTCTATTCTCGTATCCCTTCACCTTGAGGGTACTGATTCAGGAATTCCAGAGGTGATTCGGCGCTTGTCTGTGGGTACAGTGCCTCAATAAAAGATCGGTCGGTACCTTATTAGTGCCTCAATCGAGCTCAATTTTTTTTCCCCCTCGTTGTTACTCAGCCGGAAAAAAAAGGAACTCCACCACCATCAACTCTCTCTGAATCAGCCTTAGCTTTGGGGGAACGACGTAAAAAACGGGGGATCCACGTTTCAGAGACTTGAATCTTTGACTTCTGATTTTGGACCTCGAACAAAAAGCAAACATGGGAAGTCTCTCACATTGCAATTCGCCGGCTCTCGGCTGGGTCGTTCAGAAATTCGGCGGCACAAGCGTTGGCAAGTTTCCGGACAAGGTTTGTTGTCCCCCGTTGAGCTTCGGAGAGGCATTATTCTGTGGTTTTTATACACATTGCTAACCAGGATATCCAGATTGCTACAGATATTGTCAGGTATGATATTTCCCCGAAGATGTTCAGATATGGAAAAGAAAAAGAGAGAGACGTGGCTCAAAAATGTCTTGTATGACTGTAACTGACCCCGCCAATAGAGCCAGCTTGTCTCAAAACAGAGTCATCGTCGTTTGCTCTGCCAGAAGCACAGGCAAGAAAGCTGAGGGAACCACCAGTCGGTACGTCTATGCCCTGATATTTTTATATACAGAGACTCACTGTAGCGTCAATTGGCATGATCTGAGTACTAATCGCACTATAGACTACTCGCCGTCTATGGCAAGCTCAGAGGTGTCGGCGCCGCCATGTGCGTCGATGAGGAGCAGCAGAATGAATTGGTTGAGCAAGCTCGTGGATTGATGCTTGACATCTGCAACGATCACGTCTTTGCTGCTGAAGCTTATATCCAAGATCCTTCTATACGTGGAAAACTCGTTCAGACAATCAAGGATGAGTGTCAGGAGCTGGTCGAGTATATCGTCGCTGCAAAGCGATTCAACCTTGAGATCAACTCAAGAGCAAAGGATCGTGTTATCAGCTTCGGTGAGAAATTGAGCTGTCGTTTTATGGCGGCTCTTTTGCAGGATAAGGTGAGTAATACGCTGTTGACTTGCATGTACATATGAGTTTCACGCTAACATTATCCAGGGCGTCGAGTCTGAATATGTCGATCTTTGCGATTCATTCCACTACGATGCTGGCGAGAGACTCGACGACAAGTTCTACCGCACCGCCTCAGAGGCTTTCACTCGCAAGATCGCCGCCTGTGAGAGCCGCGTCCCTGTCGTTACTGGTTTCTTTGGCAACGTTCCTGGCAGTCTCATCGATGGTGACATTGGCCGTGGCTATACTGATCTTTGTGCGGCCCTCTGCGCCGTGGGCGTCAAGGCTGAGGAACTTCAGGTCTGGAAGGAGGTTGATGGTATCTTTTCAGCCGATCCCTCCAAGGTGCCCACCGCACGCCTGCTCTCGTCTATCACACCCTCCGAAGCAGCTGAGTTGACATTTTATGGCTCAGAGGTCATTCACCACCTCACTATGGACCAAGTCATCCGTGCTGAACCGCCGATCCCTATTCGCATCAAGAATGTTAAGAACCCTCGCGGAAATGGCACTATTGTCGTTCCTGACCGCATCCTCTCGGCCAGCCATCAACTTACACGGGACTCTCCCAAGCCTCAGGCAGAACACAAGAAGCCGAAGCGACCTACAGCCGTAACCATCAAGGACCATATCAGCGTTATCAACGTGCATTCGAATAAGAGATCGATCTCGCACGGGTTCTTCGCTCGCGTCTTTTCTATCCTGGACACTTACTCCATCTCGGTCGATCTCATCTCTACTTCTGAGGTTCATGTCTCTATGGCTATTCACTCGAGCAGTCAGCAGGTCGAGGCTTTTGGCAAAGCTACCAAGGAGCTTGCTGAGTGTGGTGATGTGAGCGTGCTCAACGACATGGCTATTCTGAGCTTGGTTGGCGCTGAGATGAAGAACATGGTCGGTATTGCAGGTCGCATGTTTTCTACTCTGGGAGAACACAATGTCAACCTCGAGATGATCTCACAAGGTATGCATGATCCTCGTCTTGAGTAAGGAGTCTACTAACAAAGTCAAACAGGTGCCAGTGAGATCAATATCTCTTGTGTGATAAGTGCGCGAGATGCTACTCGGGCTATGAATGTGCTGCACACACATCTCTTCACATTCCTTGAGTAAACGATATGTAGGAGCATGATATAGATGGCATTCGCATGCGATGGGAGTTGGTAGGGGTATCCTTACGGACTTGAGTTTTTGTATAGTCAATTCGCTTTGCAATGTGTTTGACTATGTCGTTCAAAGGTGTCCTTGGAGTTTTGCTGGTAAAAAATTGGGTTAGAGTTGGCATGCCGGATGTATAGCATTGAAAGGGGCGGTAGACTTTATATCAACTATTGTTTCAGAAGCGAATTTCAACGATAACTCTTCTGAATAGACTGTCAGGGGCCAAGTGGGAAAAAAAAAAAAGCTTTAATCAAGTTTACTTTCACAGTATGAACAGCTTGGTGGTAATTATTTGGATCGAGGGTATCCCATGAAATGACTTCAAGAAATGTCCTGAACTCTGAAGTATAGGGTAAGCTCAGATGCCACCTCCAACTTCATCGCTAATGCGGGGCAAATGTGGGTGGACTGCAACTTCCCCCCTGTCAGAGCTAACCAAGGTCCGACCAGCAGCTTCCATTTTCGAGATGTGACATGACCCAGTCCAACAATTCTTCTTCCTCTTCTTGCAACAAACTCACTGTTAGTTATAAACGTCACGAAAATCACCGACAGATGAAAACTACGACCGAATCAACAACCCCGAAGCTCGAGTAGTCTTCCAATGTTGGTATCGCTATATATGGAGAGTCCCGCTGCCACATGCTAGACTAGATCATCTAAATGAACGGATTGAAGGACGGCCCATGGCATCGCAGAGGATACAATCGTTGAACAGCGAATACGAGGAGATAATCCTGCAGGGTATCTCCAGGCACGACATAATACAGAACCGACCGAAATCGCGATAGATATATCTCGCCAATCATGTATAGGTCCAAAACGGGTGCTGCCAATCGTGGCAGCATCCTGAGCACCCTGAAGGCGACCGAGATGCTCGACACGAAAGCCAGTCTTCCAGCGGGTATGCAAGATACCATGTTTGCGATACCGAGCGCCTGCGACTAACATGACATTCAGAGATACTGGTAACAATTCTCGATTATTTGCCAGTCGCCGATCAGATGCGCTTTGCCCGCGCATCACACCGCATGCGAGATATGGTTTACGATGACACTAGATGGGTCTCAAGATTAAAGAGCATGGATTGTTGGGACGAAGTCGAGGCTCGTCGCCGATTCGAGGAGGCAGTGCGACGAAGACGAGAAAGTGCAAATGCAGCTGCAAAACAAGCAAAAGGGCTTGCAAGCCCCACGCAGTCTACAGGAACAACACTATTCGATGCCTCCTTAGAGGAGGCCAAGAATCGCGCCGTGGCAGATATTCGTGATGGCTTCGAGACGATGGCGGTGGGGACTTCAACAAACCCCACCGAAGACCCGGCGGCATATCTGGATGTCTTCAAAAAAGCACGGAGCATTCGGGGTGGTGCGAGGCACGAGTACGGCAGGATATACGGCGCTTTGGCTCCCTTCTACTTTGATTTGGTGAAGGCAAGATCTCATGCGGACCCCATCGTCTTCCAAGCGTTTCGTGACCCGGAGAAACAAGCGCAAATGCTCGCAAATCTTAAGAGATTCGCCCATAGCGATTGGTCAACCGGATGTCAGGAACGAGAGGAGAAGCTCTCATCAATGATGGGGATCTTCGAGAGTGCTGTTCTACGGGAGTTTGAGCAAGGATACGAATTCTGGGATGTTGACGGACGAATGCATCGCTACGCACATGTCCTGCACACACTTGATGGCGCCACTGGAGGGATAGACCTCTTTGTGCATAAACACCCCATATTCAACGATGATGAGTTATTGGTGGTGAACGCGATGGACTGTCTCAACCAAGCGACACAGGACGAAAGCATCATACTCGAACCTTCACGGCTGTTCTTCGAAAAGCTGCTGGCCAAAGTCAATGAGCAGGCCTCAGTGATGCAACGCATCTTTCCTAATCCTGAACATGTATTCTGGATATTCGTGGAAAAGGTCAGGGAGGACATTATCATGGAGTATTCAACACCACTGTTCGACGAGGCGCATGAACGTAGTATGGAAGCTTATTTGAAAGCCGTGTCTGGCGTTTTTGAGCAGACGATGCTTTTCTTTCAGTCTCTTACACCCCCTGTAGGGTCTAAGCGAGACGTCAAAGAGATGGCAAAGGAACTTTCACTGCGCGTCTTCGAGCCGCATCTCGACTTATACCTCCAAGCTGAGCTAGACTTCTTCACAAATCATGCTGATACAGAAGTGGCAAGCTGGGAGAAGAAGCTTTCTGAGCAGGACTCGTCCCTGGAGTCGTTCTATATGTCAAACATCAATCGCTCGGCCGACAAGAAGGACTTTTTGAGCTCTTTCAAGAAGGTCGTTATGATGCCTGTTACGGTGCTACCGAGTTTTCCGATGGGATCTCCTTTCGCAACTAGCAAACCCGCATCATCGAGGCCTACCTCAACAGTACCAAAGGAGCTGAATGGCTCCGGGACACTCACACCGCAGCCCTCGCGACCTGAGACGCCCAGTCTGGCACTTGATGGCCAGAGGACGCCATTGCCTGCTCAGGCACCAACGGACGAGCTGGCAGCCAAGGCTGCAATCATGGCGTCGAAGCTTGAAGGTATCAAGTCGCTTTTTAGCATCGAGGTGGCGCTCAACCTGGTGCACGCTGCTAAAACCAGCCTGGGGCGTGCTTCAGTTTTCATTAGCCTTGGTGGACAAGCTGGCGGAGAAGCTCGAGAGCAGTGTGCGACCATATTTGTTGTGCTGTTGCGTATCTTGGGGCAGAAGCATGTCAAGACGGGCTTTGATATGGCTGTCGACCATCTGTCGCACTATAACCCGCGAGAGGTTAACGATCATAACAAAGCGGGCGTGGCACCTCTGGTCACTTTCATCGAGCTTGTCAATGTCGGTGACCTTATCTCACAGATGATTGACGTTTTCTATGAGCAGCAACTTGCCACCCCGAAAATTGCTGACCGCAACGATTTCTTGGATCCAGCAGGCCTGGCCAAGAAGAAGTTTGAGCAAATGCTCGACGAGAGTGTTGCGGCCGGCCTAAACAAGGGTATCGATGTCCTGATGGACGAGGTTGAGTATCTTCAGGGCACAACCCAACCACCCACAGATTACAACCCAGTTGATCCCTCAGCGGCTGCATCGTCCTCTGCCTTTGGATCTGGATTTGGTGGCAGCTCTAGCACCGTCGAGAAGCCTGCTGCGCCTGCTGCAGAGCCTGATATTGGCCCCACAGCCACAGCAAAGCGTATCGTAGAGCTTGTCTCATCACATACAAAAATGCTTGTTGGTACAACAGATAAGTCGATGCTCGATGTATTCAACGGCGAGGTTGGACTTCGCCTTTTCACAGCGATCTGCAAACATCTCAAGCGACAACGTATCAGTACCGAGGGAGCGATTACTCTCATTGCTGATATGAACATCTATTATGAGTACATTCGGACGTTGCGCAACCCTGATCTGCTCGCATACTTTGCTGCTCTTCGTGAGCTTAGCCAGATCTTCTTGATTGACCCTCGACATGCGCGTGAGATGGCCACAGTCATCGCAGATGGCGATCGCTTTGGTGGCATTTTCCGAGCTGAAGAAGTCTACGAGTATGCGCAGAGAAGGGCGGACTGGTATCAAGTCAGAAAAAGTGTCGAGAGAGCAATGTATGGGCTTGAGTGTGTGCTCATGTGAGTAAATAGAATAGAACTTGGCTGATTGGATACACTTACGAAATCGAAATGTCATTATCACGAAGATATGTTGAGAGCGAGCATTTGGCTAGGAGATATATATGGATGGTTCAAAATTTATGATGACAAAGAGTTTTGAGCATCTAATAAAATGTTTCATTTTGAGCAAGCCATGGCCTTTTGCGACTTGTCGCGTATTCTTCTCCTTATTCTGTTTGTATCCCAACGCCCAAGAACACCCGAATTACATGTCATGTTTTCATTAAAAGTCTTCTCTATACGCCCCACCTCTCCATGCCTATTTCATGCCGCCAAAATCAAGCTTGCGTGCGACTTTGGAACCCCTGTCATCGTCAATTACGCCTGGCCTTCGCTTTAGATCAGCGCCCATCTTGTCATCGGCGCCTGCGCCACCCTTTCGAGGCAAATCTTGCTTGCGGGTAGGCTTAGGCTCAGAATGCCACCAAGGATGCTCAAGCATGCCACGGGCAGTGATGCGCTTCTTGGGGTCGAGAATAAGTGTCTTCATCAGCAGGTCCACACCGTCAGAACCAACAGTACCGAAGCGCATCTCATACCAGTCCTTACCACGGACCGGGTGTTGCCCAGGAACAGCATAGCCTGGGAGTTTCGTAACGCCAGGCCAGTTATCGTCGGTGGGCGTGCCGACAAGCTCACAGACAAGCCGAACTTGGTCAAGGTCTGTGTTACCAGGAAGATAGGGCGCACGCATAATGAGTTCAGCGAACACAGTGCCAACAGACCAGACATCAACAGCACCGCTGTAGTGCTTCGCGTCGAAGAGCAGCTCAGGAGGTCGGTACCAGCGAGTGATGACGCGCGAGGACATGAGTTGATGAGGATCAGCGAAGCTTCGCGCAAGACCGAAATCAGCAAGCTTGACTTCGCCGTCCTCGGCGATCAACAAGTTGTTTGGCTTGATATCACGATGGAGAACAAAATTTTCGTGGCAGAACCAGACGGCACGAGTGAGCATGCCCATCCATGTCTTGATATCAGCGGCACCGTAGCGCACGGATTCGGTATCGCGAATAAGCATTTCTAGATCGCCGCGGGGAAGATACTCGAGGACGAGGTTGAGGTTCTGATCTTTGGAGGAGAATACGGAAAGGAGAGAGATGATGTTTGGGTGGGAGAGCTCCTGGAGGTGCTTCAATTCGCGGACGGCGTCGGGGGCCATGCCCTCATCGTACTCTTTCTGGACCTTGATCTTCTTGATGGCGACGAGAGTGGTAGGCTTGGAGCGCAAGTGGCCTAGGAAGACAACGGCGTATGTACCCTCACCGAGCTTCTTGCCTAGGTATTGTTAGAGAGCAACGCTTGGGGTGTTCAACGCTGTAGCATACCCTTGACGTATTTGCGCTTCTCCTCATCGTTCATCTGCTCTGCAAGATCGAGAGTCGTGGGAATACTCGTCGGGGCAGGCGCAGAAGTGACAGGAGGCATTGGCGTTCCATTGGAAGAAGAAGTTTGCGAAGTGACATTCTTTAGAGGCGAAGAGATTGCGCGCCCGAAGCTTTGCGGCTGCGTTGCTTCAACGGTGTGTGTTACGACTGGTGAGAGCGCCATGGTTGATGTTGATGGCCAACAAAGAGGATTGTTAATAGTGATTGAGGAGCTGGAAAGGCCAGCTGTATGGCGTTGGGAGGCCTCGTTTTGTGCTCGAGGATTTTAGAAGCGAGATGCTTAGCAATGAGTGACTGAATGTAGATATGACCAGTTGAGTCTGACTCGAGCGTTGAAGTTTATGGAAGTTGAAATAAGCTGAGTAGTCCGTGGAGGTTAGGAAGCTTGTTAAAGAGCTTATCGTTATCGGTAATTCGAGATCGGAGCATCGGAGTTTATCACACCGATAGGCTCCACACCCGTGCAGATCTTAGATACAGTAACTACGGAGTACATACTCCATCTTTCAACTTGGACCATCCAAGAACATCGCTTCCTTCTCCTTGCCTTACCTATTATCAGCTTGCGTGTTTTTGACACGAAAGAAACGCGAATGTTCAGTTTTTTAGCCACGCAGATCGACTTTGCGTGATGCACATAGCAACCGGCGGTATTATTCTTGCCTCATGGCCTCATTGAAAGCATAATGGTCGTATTCAGTGCCTTCTGCTGTAGCAAAGATCTCGTCGCTTGTGGAAACGAGAAAACCATGGTGCCTTCAAGTCAAAAGGGTGCGACGACGCTACAGTAACGGTGTTGTGCTTCGGCGGTTTTGACCTCCCTTTGACTGTCCGCGAATACGGGTATACGGGCGCCTCGTGAGGGGCATCTTTCAAGAACCAGATCTCTGAAGCAACCCTTCATAATATCCGAAAATGATGAGTATGAGGCTTTGAGATTCGTAGGATGGTACGAGATATCTTGCCTGCAAGTGCTCGTATATAACATAGAGTTGACTGTTCACCAGTTGCCGGTATGGCTGTCCATCTGATGGCTAAAGAGTTCACCATCGTGGCTTGGGAATCATCAGTCGATGATTCTTTTGAAACTCAAAAGGGTCTCTGACATGAGACGGTAAACAAGAGATACAATGGTTATTTAAGACTGCTCTGAGTCTTGACTAGTTCTGTCCTCCTTGGTGTCGTTCTTCACTTTCGTTATATTCCCCTGAACACTACTTCCGCTCTTTGTAATCCGTTGCAGACTTCAAGCATGAAGCTGTCTCTACCTTTCGTTGCGCTCTGCGCAGCACCAGTCGTTGTTGGTCTTGTTCTCCCAGACGGCGCCTTCGAGATCAAGAAGCATGAGCCTAAGGACCACCATCACCATGATCCCGACCTGGTCAAGCACCATCACAAGCACCACGATCATAAGCACAAGCATCTTCATCCCCATGAGCATATCCACGTCACCAAGCACAAGCATCCCGAAAAGCCTTGTCCTTTTCTCACTGAGGAGAAGACTTGCAAGCTCTTTCACTATGCCACCAAGGATGTCGAGGAGCTCATTCATGCTGTGCAGACCTATGACTGTGGCAATGAGGAGAAGTGTTGGCATGTGGGTTGCTCTCTTGGACCCCGAAACTCTGACATGACTAACACTGGACGAAAGAAAATTGTTTACAAGATCTACAGCCTTGAGTATGGGCTGGATGCCTTTGACAAGTACGTGGACAGCACCACTCTTAAGAAGTGTCTCACCTGTGGAAACGACTCTCCTGTCGTTGGCTGCTTCCTTCACGTAAGCTCTGCGAAAAGACTTTTCAGGGGTTACTGTGCTAACACTGCTCTAGTATGCCGATGCTCTGATCCGCCTCCTGAAGCTCCTACGGCACCAGACCAAGACTCTTGATGGGGAGGTTGAACGACCTGTCCTCACTGCCATCAACAGTCTTCGTGTTTCCAACTATGTGAGTTGCCCTTCTAGCGAGAGAAACTAAGACATACATACTGACTTTGAATAGGCCTTGGTCTATGAGATTGCCCGCCGTATTGAGTGCAAGAAGAGCCTCAAGATCATCATGTCAAAGCAGGGAGCCAACGATGGCACCACCAAGGGTAGTATCCAGGCGGCATTCTCGAAGTTCCCCTACACTCCCCTGATCACAGGCGAGAACTTTGAGGACGGAGTCGCGCTAGACAAGGCCGATGGTAAGGGGGACTCGGAGGGTGATGGAGAGAAGAAGCACAAGAAGGTGCACAAGCACTACCACAACCATCACCACGGACACAAGCATGGGCACAAGCACGGCCACGGACATGGCCATCTCCACCAACACGGACACAAACACGGACATAAGCACGGGCACAAGCACGAGAATGAGCATCACTACGAGCACAAGCACGAAGAAAAGGATCCCCACGATCATTACGATGAGGTTCGTGCCAACGATGCAGGTCCTAGACTTATGGCAAGGCCCATCACTAACAGTGAGTCTAGTAACTATGAGAGACATAACAAGCTCGAGCGCCGCCGGGGATACGAATATTGTTGTAATTATGTAACATGGTGCTGGGACTACTGTGGACGACCATATCGATGCTGCAGGTGTTGAGTAGAAGAATGAAGAGTTGAGTTGAGTTGATATGATTAATAATAAAACTGAATTTTGTGCGTGCCTATTGAAGCTGTTTTTGGTTGTTGAGTGCTCCAGTTGAAGTGAATGTTGGTCGTCGAGAGTGATTGGATATACTCGAGTAAGGGCCCAGGTTACAATGTAAGGGCCCTGCTTCAGCTCATGATTCATGCAAGGATCTTACATAGCTTACAGTGGAATCTTTAGTGTCTCCACTGAACGACGTCGTCGGCTGAGGCTTGTTTTGGGCAGTGACAAACTAACTTTTGTAAGCGAAGGCTGTGATGTAATCAATGTAAACAAAAGGGGATGATGTCATTCGATTATAAACCCCATTCATTCTATCATTCTATGATACGCTCACAGCTGAAGAATACCCAATTACCCCATTCGCCTTAGTTACCTAGTGATTTTCTGCTTTTTCTCCTTCTACGCCACTGTAACAATGCTCGACTGCCGCGTAACCCCCCTGTAAACGCCGCGTCAATGCCAAGTCAGCAAAGGGTTACCACAGCCATTCTTGGGCTCTTTTCCGCTGTAACTTAGGCTTAGCAAGGCTGATGTGATGTGATGGGGTGATGAGCACCGCCGTAAAAAATATCCCGGACTTTAGGAACTACGGACACGTCCGAAGACCCGAAAGATCTTCGGCCGTGGAGTATTTAGTGGTGATCTAGTCTAAGTTCCCGGCCGAGAAGGAGGGAGAGATACTAAAAAGCTTGGAATTATCCAGATCGAAAAATCTCTGGAGTTGCAATACGTAACGCAGACCCATAATATAATTCCCAAACCCAAGCTTGCATCGGGAATATAATCAATACCCTGCCCCTTGTTTCTTTTATTACTTCTTTCCTCTCTTTTCGTATTTGTTCCATCTATTTCATTTACTTTGTACCTGCCAAGCTTCACCTACCTAAGGTAGACTTCCTAAGGTCAGGTGCTGCTGTCACTGCCTTATTTGGGTCGACTCTTAAGAGAAGAGTTGCTCGCCTGTATCAACTGTTTTACGAAACACCAAGCTTACAGTAACATCATCACATCACATCACATAAAACCACACAATGGCTGTGAAAGGCATATTCTCATACTGGGTATGTTTACCATAACCTTTAAATAAGGCACATACTAACTAACATGATCAGTGGTTTCCAGTCATCTCAGGCCTTGTCTGGCTCGGAATGCTTCTCGGTCTTCTCCTCGAATGGCAAGTCAATCAACACGGTCGTCGATATCCCACTCAATCGATTCACTCCGACATCGCCTACATCTCCAATGTCGGCGCAGGCCGTCTCCAGCCTCTCTTCATCGTCGGCTGCGTCTTGACCTCCGTCTTTCTCGATGCTGCGTTCTTGTCTGAGCGATGGCTGCGACATCGGGGCCGTCTTGTGCCCAACACGACCCTCATGGAGAAGGTCCTCAGCGGCCTCTCTATCGCCTTTGCGACCGTTGGAACGGTGGGACTTATCTGTCTTTCTATCTTCAAGACTGGCAAGTATAGCAGACTGCACAACACGTTCTTGGCGCTCTTTATTGGAGGCTATTTGTTCTCGGCTGTTTGTATCTGCTGGGAGTACCAACGCCTTGGAATCAGTGAGTCTCTACATCTATCTTCAACCGCTGTATAAAACCTCCCACTAACAAACCTTTAGACTACCGCGAGCATCGTATCCTTCGCATGTCGTTCTGGGTGAAGCTCACCTTCATCCTCGTAGAGGTCGCCCTCATCATCGCCTTTGGCGTGTGCAGTCTCACAAAGAAGAAAAACGCCGCCGCGATCCTCGAATGGGCCATATCCTTCATCTTTACTTTCTACGCCGTCTCCTTCGTCATCGACCTCTATCCTGCCGTTCGCACAAAGAGCCCTGACGCAAGGTACCAAAAGTCCAACTACATGCCCTCTGCCCTCTCGGATTCAAGGAGCCCCAGTAACGGGTCGCGCAGTAATTTGGATGCTCCTGCAAACGGTCACCACGATGTCGAGATGGCGCAGAACGGTAACCGTGTGCCTCCTAGAGACTTCTAGGCAGGCCGCAAAAATCATATGTTTGACCCATCACAGCACAACAAACACTCAACACGAACCTTTACGCTGTAAAGAATAATGCCGAATGATTCCCCCTTTCTTTTTTGTTTATTTGCGTGGCGTTTGGATCGAGCGAGAATTGGCTCGTTTCCGGGTTTGTATTACATGGCTTATAACATGCTTCTTTTATATGAACTATCTGATAGATGAACCTGCAGGGGAATTGCCAGATGTAATGAATTAAAAACAAAGTAAACAATGTCAACATAATAAGATCATAGTTCATTACTGTCTTCCGACATCCTTCGCACCTAATGAGATACATCACTGTATATTGCCAACCAATATCCCGCTTCGTCTCGTGATTATATTTGGGGACATGTTTTAGTCGTCATTTTCATCCGAGAGTTCCGTACATGTACTGCGTCATAGCTCAAACAACGAACATTAAGTTTATACCACTAGCGAGACAACCCTTTCAACTTTCCCAGTTGGTATAATCCGTCTGTTGAAAAGCCAGTGACGCTTTCCAGATACACAACAATCCATTCTTGCGCCAGGTATTATCCAAACCAATCCCATCATTTGACCTCCCTCCATGAACCCTTCCAAACTCCTGTCCTAGAACAATACTGGCTTAATTATCCATCATTTCTCTGAATCTCGAATCCCGTGAAGGACTTTGGCTCTTTCTTTCGGCAGGATCTTTAATTGCTGGGGGCGGAGCAATAGCCGGAACTGCATCATCTTCACTCAGACTGCTCACAGGGCTAATACCGCGCGAATCATGTGGTACATCCCGATCGTGATCGCTTGACTCAGCGTTTGCGCTGCGACCAGCAAGGGCGACATCTCGCATGCTCGTAGCGCGGTTGTCCAGACTTGTTGAACTTTCGTTTGCGTCCGTATCCCGGAGAGCGGCTCCGCCAATGAAGCTGCTTCTCTTATCACCTTGGCTTTCACGATCTTTCTCTCCAAGAGATTTGCCTCGTGAAAACCGGTTCTTGATCCATCCCTTGACCTTGGAAGTTGGTGAGGCAGCATCACTGAGCTTTCTGCGGCCCCTTTCCGTTGTGCCAGCTTCTGTATCGATCGCGGCTGGGACACTAGGCTCACTAGGTTCATTTGACGCAACAATAGGTGGTGATACAGCCTCTTCGCTTCTTGTGCTCGCACCATCATCAATAGCGTCTTCGCCTGAGACAGCTGTGTTACCCCTGGTCCGTTGCTTCTCTTCCTTGGCCTGGCGTCGCTCTTCAGCTCGTGCCGCCTTCTCCTCCGCCTTCTTGGCCTTGTGCTCTTGCTTCTCTTGGTCTATGAAATGAATTAGTCTGGCACAGCGCAAATGAATATTGCTATGGACGTACCCTTGAGTTTCTTTGTGATCTCTTTAATTTCGCGTTCGCGGGCCTTTTGCTTTTCCTGCTCAGCCTTTCTTGCTTCTTCTTCCATTTTGAGTGTAGCGAGTCGCTCGCGCTCAACTTCAGCCTTTTCGTTGATGTCATCCAACAGGGGCTGCATTCTCTTAGCTGCGATGGCGTCTATCTCGTGAGGATCCATGAATCTGCCACCACCGATGTCGATTTTGCCTTTGTTTGCGTTCCGGGTCTCGTGGCTAGCACTAGCCAATTGATGAGCCTTGAGCTCCCACTCACTCATAAGAGTTGGGTTGACCTGACCAGTTTCATGATAAACCTTCTCATCCATACCTTGCAGTCGAGCCTTGACGTTGCGTTGTGCCGCAGCAAGAAGCGCGTTGCGGTCGTCCTGTCGCTTCTTCTGATCAACCTCTGAAAGCTTGTTGGAGAAGAGTGACATTTGCTGTCGTATTCTTTCGGACTGTTGTCTATCATCAAGATCACCGTCGCTAGAAGAGCGACGACGTAGCTTGGATGTCAATGTGAACCGCCGTTTAGGCGACGATTCGTTTCCATAGTAAGATTGGTAATCTCTATTTTTCTGATGTTCTTGTTCAAGCTTTGCCAGTCGTTCTTGTGCTTGTTTGTATGCAGCGTCTTGGAGATTAGCATATGGTTTTGGCTGTGGCGCATCGGTGCCTTGCCCGTGGGTTTCCTTGGCTTCGTCAATAATCTTTTGTTGATGTGAGTACATTTTTCGGGCCATCGCAACCGCTGATGCGTGGAGTTGCTCATTGTTTTGTCGTTCATCTACCTCTGGTTTGACTGGCGGATTGGACGTAAACATGTTGCGAGTCATGGTAGTCACTGGCACTGCCCCAGCGTTTTCTGTCACCGGCTTGGCCCTGAGGCTTGCTTTGTGAGCAAGTGCAGCTCCGCTGAGCGCATCGGGTCGAGTGGTGTTAGTCTTGGGGGATAATGGAGCATGGGAGTCTGGTGCTGATGGCGTCGATTTAGCTCGTCGTCTGGTTGTTGACATAGCACCTTTGGCTGCGGCCAGAGACTTTTGTCCCTGCAGCGAAGTATCAGATGCTCTTGGGTCGGGCTGTCGCATTGAATTGGCTCGATTCGTGTTGAATGCTTGAGTGGCAGCAGAATTTCCCCATCCTTCGTGTGACTTACGCTGGCTTGGGGATTGGTTCAAGGCAGCATTAGCAAAGCCAACAGCTAGAAGTGCAGCTTTGTGGCCAGCAGAGTTGGATGCTGGTTCCCATGCTGGAGCCATCTTGTAATCCTTGGCTAAAGCGGCGGCAGCGGATGCGGATGAGGTTTTGTCAGGTTTCCAAAGTTCGATGGGTTTTTGGTTAGACCACCCAAGTGAAGCAGCAGCACTTGCAGCAGCACCGTCAGGACGAAGACCAGTAGACGGATAGCTAGGAAGATCCCGAGGATCTGCGTATTTGAGCCGACCTGAATTATTGGCCACTATGTATATGTCAGAAAAGACCTGGGCCATACGTGGGTGGATGACGAATATCGCTGGGACGCCGGTACATACCTGTGGCCGCTGCCGGCTGTGACTGGATCATGGTTGGCTGCTGG